CAAACACGAAAGGTAAATTTATAATAGTAAGACTGGTTATAATGACATTCCAAAGTGTGGGTGCTGTGCAAGAGAAGGCTCAGAAACCAGTCTGAGTTCTCGATGAAGGAATGGTCAACATGATACTGGAGACCCGTCTTCGGTTGATAGATGCAGAAAGTGAGTTACATTCTGAGTCGATATAGATTTAAGGATGTGTCGATGAAATTTGCCCAGTGTATGTCTACGTAGCTCCAGCAAAGTTAGAGTAGCATTAGAGCAAAGCTCACAGTGATGACTTCCACAAATGACACCCAATGCAAATTTTAAAGAGTCAAATGATAAAGAGGATTAGTTAATCCCACCAGACTTCTCGTTGTGCCAAAGCGTCCAAGGGTGGGAGGCGTGCAGGCTGCGGAATTGACACCGTGCAGGAATATTTTTAATGCAAGGGGAAGGGGCGTTACGTGGTGGAAACAAAACACGAATACATCCACAACGTGAAGCGTACTTTTCTCATAAAAGACACCATGAAATATGTCTGAGCATCATGTTGACTCGAGGTATGGACTTGTGATTTCCCTATGTATTATTGCCTAAGCAACTTTAGGGGAGTGGATTATTGGGTGTTGGATGCTATACCAGAAAGGCTGAGAAACCTCATGCACCACATTCATATCCGTTTTTACAAAATGTTGTAATTATCGTTTCTCACGTTATTCTCAGATATTTTACTTCCTAATATGAATTCAATTATCAACTCGATAAGTAGAGTTGTAAAGAAATGTCTTTTCATTTAATTAGTGCTTTGCTACATATTTGACGGAATCGTTTTCACAGTTAATGTACGTATGCATTGCGTTACTGACGGCATGTGCGTTATAAGCGTTACAGATGGTAAATCTATCATCATAAACGCAGACACATGCAGTTCAATAACTATTCGGTATTCTTCCATTGTACTGTACGTACAGCAAATCACACGGTACAAAGAAATGTGAAATACAATACACATTGGGGGGAAACTAATATCGTGATGATCCTTATCATCGTAAAAAAACAATTGCGGTAACCCAAATGCAGGCTCGTTGTGCCAAAGCGTCCACACCTGGTTGGCAATCCCACCAGCAGGGCCCAATTAACACCGGGGCTTGAAGGAGCTGCAACTGAGGGCCTCTGACTTTGATGGCCTACCCAACAATACACACAGGTACTGCTTTACGCTGGGTGAAATACAATGATGTGGCACTATGAAAAATCATACACTGTATGTAATATGGTAATTAAATCCATGGCATCAATCACTACGCCGAAAATTACAAAAACATGTTCTTTTAAACTTTTGTCTATCTTGACAAGTTGTATATCTCTTTAAAAAGATGTAACAGAAATTTCCAATCTGATTTCATATTTATAGAGCGCTTTCACTCAATGCGCTTGACATAGTTTAGACAAAAACGGTGACAGAATAGAATGATTTAGGTGGCAGGCGCGTGAAAATGATTGAGGAATGAGCCACCGTGATAGAGGGGTACTGATGGCTAACGAAAGGGGAGGGACGGGAACGAGTGGAGGGGCGAGGGTAGGGAAGAGAAAGAGAATGGGCAATAGAGGTAAGAGGTGAGATTAATAACAGCAGAGAAGTTTGCATCGGGCATGGGTGGTGGCAAAACGGTCAAACGAAGGAATTGAAAGTACAAAGTGGGGCTACCATCAAACTTTATCTGGCTCTGCCCACCAGACCCCACCCGATAGCCACCTGGACGATATTCTATTTCCAGGCTGATGAGGTCTGTGGAAATCTCAGGGCTGACAACGGAGAAGATAATGCCCAGTGGAGAGAAACGCTCGGTGGGCTGCTGTTAAATAAGTTGGTCCCGATCACGCTAATCATCTCACACGTAATAAACACAATAAATTAGATCACGGGACTAAATAAAAAATGAAATATAAAACATTCTATTTGGTTAAGTTAATTATAGTGACCTCACAAATTCTTGTACACAGCTTCATTTCGATAATCGACAATGTAAACTAGCGACAATGATGATTGGTATCAATGTTACCCATATATCAATATCATAGCGTATCACCGATATGTTCATGCTTATAAAACTAGTACTGTAGTATCTACACTGTCATAGCGAATGAGAACCATGACATATAGGGACTCTATTTACGAACAAGTTAGGTTCCAGAGATCTGTTCGTAAGTCGATTTGTTCATAAGTCCAACTTTACTCCTGTCGATTCCAAATTTGTTGTATGGCATGTACAATAAACACTTGGAATGGCTTTAAAAGTTGTGCAATCTCCTGTAGATGTAAATGCCACTGGTTCTTCATAATCTGCAGATGTAGATGCCACCACCACCATCTATTGTGCGGTGGTTGAACTTACGACTCTCGGTTTAAACAGGCAACTGCACATACGGACAGGTTAGTTCGTGTCTCTGAAAGTTCGTAAGTCGAATGTTCGTAAGTAGAGGATTCCCTGTATCGGACATTCAATACCTCGTGGTTGTTGGAGCACCTACTCAAGGGGTGGTTTGGTCCCCACCATTCCTTGCCGCCTTTATATCTCCAGTGCAGATAATTATCACCCAGGACCCACCTTGCATGTGTCCTCGGCACACACCGGTGTTGCTACTTAGTTTAGTCTAAAGTCAACCTTTGGAATTTTGGTCATTTTAATCTGTGAGGTTTACCGTCGTGTTATTGTTTATTCAATAATATATATTCGATATTGGAATCAGCGATACGTGTCAATGCTCTAACATCCGTTCCAGTCCTTCCGATTTAAATGATAGGTTGCTGATATTAACACCACGCCATCTGACTTCAAAGCTAATGTCCTTCACTAAACTAAACATTGAAAACAAATTAGTTGCATCATCTTTTTTTATTTGGCAAATATTGAAGACATAAAAGGGCCTTCATAAATCGGCAGCCAATCGATTGAATCTGGAGGATTGGCAAGTACTATACCGAGAATAGGTTTTCCCATTTTTTTCTGGCAACACAACAGGTGTTGAGATGTAAAAACACCAAACTGAAACCTTTAACAAGGAACCATGTCTACATTAACCACAACACTTGTGGTCAGAATGCAAACAAAAAACATACTCTGATAATATTTGCATTGTCTTTGAAATTGATTGCTTTCTTTTGAGCCTAGTCCCAAACGGTCTTAGACCAGTACTATACAGTTTGATATCGATACTTTAGGCAGTATCGCCTACCTCGAGTGTCAATGGAAAGCGAGCTCGTTGGGTTTTATTGCTTTACCCCATCTGGTTTGGCCGGTCCTGACGCAATCTGTGCACATAGAAGGCTGCTACTGCCCTTGGGATGCGTTCACGATCCAAGTGAGCTGGTGAGCATCTCGTGGGATGAAAGGCAGACTGCCAAGGACCCCCCAGAAGACGTTTCACAGATTCGTGTCGGCTCTTCTGGCTCAGGATACAAACATCAAATCGTCTGGATAAAGCAATCCACGTTCTTCCATTTACGTCAATGATGTGCCAACGCTGCAGCGTTCGGGATAATGGTACACACCGAAGCGCACAGAGACGGAAATAAGTCATACACTATGCAAACGAGCTGGTAATAACGAGCCAAACGTCAAATTTCGATTTAAAGCTTTCGTGACTGCAGGGATTCATCTTCTTTGTTCTTTCGGTAAAGTCACGTAGAATGGAAATAATAAAATAATAAAATAAAACATAATAAAATAATTCTCACGACGTTTCGGCCACAACGCAAGCAGCCGTCCTCAGGTGAAGACCCCGACAGACCTGGTCTTCACCTGAGGACGGCTGCTTGCTATGTGGCTGAAACGTCGTGAGACTTATTTTATTATGTTTTATTTTATTATTTTATTATTTCCATTCTACGTGACTTTACCGAAAGAACCAAGAAGATGAGCCAAACGTCGTTTATTACCGAATGGAATCGAATCGTGACCCTTGTATTGAGACAATTCATCATTTCACGGATTGCGTGGGAGAGCAGTGTATTTCCATTTGAACGTGAGCTACAACCTGCTTTGTGTATGTGCGTCCACAAGGTGGCGGTGGTGCAGCTAACTCCCAATCGTCTCAGTCAATGCACCTACAGCATCTGGGTCTTCCTGTCCTGTGGGTCACCCGGCGAGACTTTTACATTTCCACGTGGCCTCAAAGCGCACCACGAGCCTTTTGCCCGTCCAAGGACGACGGGTGTATATTGCAGTAAATCTGAAACTTGAAAGCGAAAAGCAGACCACGACGTGATAGACATTGCATCAATTCGTGTGCAGTTTGTAAGGGCGCGGTGACACAGACTTATTTCATTTAAGGGTTATAATCCCTTGTTCATCACGACGTCCTTTTTACTTTGATGTGTCTATAGCGTTACAAAGATGACGTGACGTCAGGGTTCTGCCTTTGTAGTGAGGGTTGTGAGTTGACGCCGAGGAGGGGGGAGGAGGCGCCTCGCCCCCCCATGTGGAGTGACGTCACCTGCTAATTATTATGAATGGAGGGGGGGGCAGTGTCCAGTTGGAGGACGTCACCTTATGATAATTAATGAGGGGGGCTGTTCGATGTGGAGTGACATCACCTACTCATGATTATTAAGGGTGGGGTGCTACATGTAGAGTGACGTCACCTGCTCATGATTGTTAATGAGGGGGGGGGGGCATGTGGAGAACGTCACCTGCTCATGAGTATTAGTGAGGGGGGCTGGCCCACGTGGAGTGACGTCATGCGCGGGACACAGATATTCTTGGCTCATTATAGTAGTAAATTCCTGTACAAGTGGATATGCCGTAGGGTACATTTACAACAGATGTAAAATGAGATTACTGCTCAAGCGTATCTTAAGCAAAGAAGCACTGAATAGTGTTTTATTAACATTTTTATTTTATTTCTAACTTCGTGACTTTACCGAAAGAACCAAAGAGTATGGATTCCTACAGTCACGAAAGCTTCAAGTCAAGATTGAAGCACTGAATCCGTGTTTCATGTTGGGAGAGAGAGAGAGACAGAGGGCTAGGAAGGTAATCCCTGCACACCCTTTATGCAGTGGGTTTCTGAGTCACTGCACTTGGGTTGAATTACCTGTATGTCCAGCAAGCCTGAACCGCAATGGAAATTTGATATTCTGTCGTGGAAACGCCTCCTGGGATAAATACAAAATAAAATCTCATTGAAATTCGTGGACTGTCGTGGTTTAACAACGCACAGTAGTTCATGAGCCAAGTTGACAGGCGAACAAAAACATTTTATACAATACACGGTGGTCCATGTCTTTGCTTATTCATTTCAGTTTTCACACACATTGGCACGCAACCAATATTAAGTTTAAGATAATAAAATGGGGGAGGGGGTCACAAGACATCTGGTCCACCTTGTAGAATTTAAGAAAAAAAAAACTGGTACCAGTTTGTGATGAGTATGCTGTTGTGGAAACAATTGGGCCAACGATGATGTTAAGTTGGGTGGGATTATGGAAGACCAAGGAAACCCCCCCCCACTCCCCAAGCACAACAATCAACTGAACACATACCGTTCATTGCAGTTTATTTTCAGGAAAACAAGCATGTCTGCATTTTGATTTGCAACACCAATCTACCAAAACAAAGTATTAAGAAGGAATGCTAGCGGACAGGCTGCCTGTTAAAAGCATAACCGTGTGGTTGGTTGTGCTGTGGGTTTCTTTAAGCTTCAGAGCAGCCAGATGGTTTCCGGTGTTACAGCCAGAGGAAGCGCGGTAAAGATCTGGTTGTCTCGGTTGGGGCATGGCCGAATGGAAAACATTTTTCAGGAACGTAACCTCGACGACAGCTCGAGTAGCTCAAGCACGTGATCATCTGTGTAGGTCATTCACATGTGGAAGCCCAAGTGACTACCCTCTTACTATTTGCGTGCTTAGAAAATGTCATTCTGTGCTGCGTATCTCCATAACGATTGCATTACAAGGTCCAGTGGTGTATAATTTGTACCAAGCGTGTTGTTTTCATCACCTTCTGGGTCAAGGGAGCATAAAAATGAGACTCCCACTCAGAGAGCAACAGGGAGGCTGTGCACGGACTCATTAAATCTGATATTAACTGGAGATTGCACCACGCACCCATTTATAGCCTGTGGTTTTCTATTGTAGGGTCGTGTAATAATAATGTGGGGCTAAATAACATTGTGAATTGGCTTTGCAAAAAGGTGTTTATTTATTCTGTACGTGGTTATGATTTGCGTCCCTATGTATTTCAATTGACTAGAAACGCAAACTGCATTCGTGAATAAGGGAGGCCAACAATGAGATACAAACAAAACATTACTTTAACAGCAGTTCTTGAACATTGATACAGAGTCTCAAAAACATTACCATTTGAACTATCATGTCATTTCAGTAATGTCTTAGCAAAAAGTAAACATACCGTATTAGATTCAGTAGTGAGAGTATATTAAATATCCTTTGAAAGTAATAATGCCAGGAGAGATGCTTTTAGAAAAATGCCTTCTAAAATGGGCTCCATAATTACCCACATCAAGAGTTTGATTCTAACTCGTGGACATCTTATTTACATTGAGGTTAATTAGACAGAACATTTGTACATGAGCTCTTTTTTCGTGTTGTTCTAACTTTTGATCCACATTTTTATTAACGCATGTGTCATATATATGAAGAAAACTAATTTATAGGCTATATCATTTTAAAATGTCAGAGCGTTGGGGTAGTGGGTTGCACAGTGGGCTCGGAACCCATCACCTGAGTTGGATTCCTGGCCACGGCTGACATCAGTTGGTGAGTAATATCTAAACTCTGTCTTTCCCGTTAGCAGCCTGCACTGACCAGCACGGTGAGGTATGGTCAAACAATCCCCCCCTCGCCCCCTCCATGACCAACATTTTGCGTGGAGAGCTTCATCCTGCAGTGGATCGACACAGTTAATACATATATATTTGCAAACGTTGAAATCAAGCACAAAATAACCCGTTGTTCAAGGTTCCTGAGTAACTCAAGATCATTATAAGTATTTTATATTTTCAACACGTACATATTTATTGTTTTACTTCATCCAATATTCACAAAGGTGACATCTTACAGGCTTATCAACAACTTCACAACGTCTGACATCGGTTTATCAAATCGAGGCACACCTATATTTGTACATTTTGGAGGTACATATAATGCCATGGAGTGTTACGCCGTAAACATCAACATCACGCAAAGCGCTCACTGACATTGCCGTTTTCAGTTTTCTTTAAAAGTCGTCGTGTTACGCCGTAAACATCAACATCACGCAAAGCGCTCACTGACATTGCCGTTTTCAGTTTTCTTTAAAAGTCGTCGTGAGTTCAAACAACGCCATTAAAGGGGTAATTTGCACTTTGCCACAACAACAAAAATGTCAATCCTCAAACACCAAACCCTGCAACCGTGGTGCACAATCAAAAACACGGTACAAAATGAATTCAATAGCAATATGTGACCACAAGAGGGCACCATCGTGTTTTTTTTTATTCTGGACGAGTTTTTTTTATTTCGTTAAACAGGAGGCTTCAACACCACCGATTTGGTTATATATCTGCATTGCGTATTGGTTTTGATGAATTAGTCAAAGCGATTGCAAGAAAACTAATGAAATGTCTTTCATAGCTTATTTCGCATACGCTACACGAATGAACGTCCAATGAGAATGCAATCGGGGCCTTAAAATAACACCGACAAGACAATCCCAAGGACGTCTGTTTTTAGCGTCCGGTTTTGTGTTAATTCGCACGAGAATTGATGGCCTATAGTTCTCAGTCCAACACACATAATCGACATCATCTTCATATGTAGGCGACTTTTGGTTGTAAACGTTACAGACCAGGAGAAAATGCGACAGCTGCCACTTAAACGTGGTCCAAAGACGAATCGTTGACATATGCCTTCAGTTTGGAATGTATTTTTTCCCCACATCGGGTTGTATTTTTCAATAATTTAATCACGCTTCGTGACCTATAAAACACATTACCATAATAATAATATTAATACCAATATATACATTCACAATTAATATATATTATACATATACAGCACATACGACGTTTCGGATTATACTTGCGCGTACAATCGCTTAACGGAAATTTCGTTCAGCATTACGTCTCGGGCTGCGGAGAATTGGCCCGCTCCAGTATCAGCGCGGTGCCACTCAGGGCTTTCGAGGTGCTGAGCAACCTCCAGCCTCTGAGGCTGTCCTGCGAAACCGGTGACGGTTCGTCGGGACTCCGGCTCCTCTCGCAGAGGCCGTCCGGGCTGCATCCCCCGTGGACCTCGTGCAGCTGCGAGAGGTGGGAACTGCCTTTGCGACCGCCGCTGTAGCTGCTGCCCGTCGACGACGCGTGGTGGAGACCCCACGGCTGCCTCCGCCGCCGCTGCCCTTCCCGGCAGTGGCAACGCAGGGCGCGCAGGAAGGCCCTCTTGAACTCCTGGCTCGAGCACGGGTAGATGAGCGGGTTGATGCAGCTGTTGAAGTAGCCGAGCCAGAAGACCACCTTGAACACGGTCTGCGATGGCCTCACCGAGGGGAAGAATGAACCTGTGGGGTGCAAAAAAAACGCAAACCAATGCGTTAGGGAAGTGTTTTTTTCTTTCTCGCCACCACGACTGCGTGCGCAGAGGAGTATCCATCACCTACTTAAAAGCCAGCTGTTGCATATGTCTCTCAGCAGAAGTAGCACGATGAAGAATACGTGCTTTGAATACAGTGTATCCAAGCTTTAAAAATATATATATTTAGAAATTCACCCATCCATCTTTAGCGACCAATTTAAAAAGTTCATATACAACCATTTACCGAGTTAGATTATTCCGTGATGATGGCGGCATGGCAGTGGAGCACGTGCACAATCAACATAAACAACTCGAAACATTCGTCAATGACACTGCCCGAAACGTTAATCTATAATAGGTGACGTTTTGGGCAACGGCCCTTCTTCATAGCACGTAATTACGGAGTTCAACGGACACATAAAGGCAAAGTGGACAACACGGAATCTCATACATTGTGACACTTTTGTTTCTTGAGCCCAGGTGAAATTAACGATAACATATCTTGATTATTGAATATTAGTAATATGTAGAAGGGAAATAATAAAATAATACAAATATAAAACAATACAAATTCGCACGACGTTTCGACTGCAACACAAGCAATCATTATCAGGTGTGATGATAATCATCAATTACCTGATGATGATTGATCAGGTGTGATGATGATCATCAATCACCTGATGATGATTGCTTGTGTTGCAGTCGAAACGTCGTGAGAATTTTTTTTGTTTTATATTATTTTATTGTTTCCCTTCTACGTGACTTTACCAAAAGAACCAATAATATGAATCTCTGCAGTCACGAAAGCTTTAAATCAAAATTAGTAATATGGTTATGATTGCACGCATCTCCGATTTGCACGGTTAGCTACGTACAGTGCGAAATAAGTTCAACATACATAGGAAAACATTTCAATAAATGTAGTGTCTTGCGTAACACGTAGGCGTTCGCGACCAGTATTATTCATAATGAAGGTTTTTGGGTTAGATCGCGTTATTCGAAATGTGTCGCAACCTTCCACCACCCGACACGGCCAATCAGTAAAAAATGTGTCACGTTAACAAAACGCCAATTAATTACTTCTTCAGCCCACCGGTGTGTTTGAAGAGTGAATCCACAACAGTTAGAATTTGAGTAGTCCGACGTTTCGCTGGTTATTACATCCAGCATCTTCGGGCGATTTCCAGAATAGTGTCTTATTCAGACGTAATTCTAGTTTTAATTGAAGCATTTTTTGCACGTGGCTGGAGACGTGGGATATGGTGGTCGACATAAGTGCCCCACGCACATGTCGGTATAGCAATTAAACCCTTCTGTTCACGCTTCCCCTCATGAACATGAATTGCTTCGTTGCCTACTGATGGGTTCCCATCTCTGTGTGGTCCACCAACCCCGGCCCCGAGGCTTAGGATTGGCGTCTGCCACCACGCCATCCGAATACGTGTGTACGCGTGTAATGCACGCACACCGTATTTACATTCTTGCGATGTTCCGACACGCGATTGGCCAGATTCACATACGGTTCTCCAGCATGGTACTCCGATGTGTGTTACGGGTTGTACCGTCCGTAGATGTTTGCAAAACTGACAATTAAAATATCGTATTGGCGTCGTGCCCCAATGCTGGTGTTGAACAGAGACATCAGCACATTGTATTCAAACGCCCACACGAAAAGGAACATTCGCAAATACGGGAATGTGACCCAATCTGTTAATGTTACTTTATTAAAATGTGTTGACGCTTTTTTTTTCATGCAAAGAAGAGATCGTGTTACATTTATATTATTGGTCATAATGTACAGCCATATGTCAGTACATTGCCGGACGCAGGCATTTCCACGCTCTATGTTTGACTATACTTCACCACGCTGTTCAGTGCAGGGCATGTGTGTGTACAAGTAGAAGTGCAAAACATTGCAACTGCAGATAACAATTAGGGTTAGTAAAGAAGGAAAGAATGTTGGAGCGGTGGTGCAGTTACATGGCGCTGCGTCATGAGCCGAGACAACTTGATTCCTAGCCACTGGAAACATATCTGAAACGGCCACAGCGCTCCCCTTTACCAACCTGCACTAACCAACATGGTGAAGTATGGATAAAAGTAACCCCCACAACCGACACGACGTTCCGAGGCCGTCATGCAGCAATGGGTTGGCTTATGCTTGTGAATTAAATAAAAACCGCAATTGAAGCACATCACTGTGATATAACGTGGCCTTAAACCCTGCACCATAGTTATACACTCATGCATGCGGATTTGTTTTCATATCACCTACACGTGTACATCCATTTGTCAAGTCACTGGTAGATGAAGGCCTCTCCACTCCATGCGGATCGTTGTTGATAATTGAACATACTTCACCTCGCTGGTCAGTGCAGGTTGACAAAGGCGTGGAGCAGTGTATATGAGAGAGCATATAAGTGCAGTACAGAAATGGAATGTGTCTGCCCCTTTAAAAAAATAACGAGAAGAGCTCAGCGATGTGAATTATAGGGCCACTAATCGTTGTTGTTTACGTTTTTGGTTGGGTTTGAAATGTGCTGCTTTGGCATTGGCGACGGCAGGAGACATGCAGTCGAGGACTGCTCGCATGCAAGAAGGCGATTTGTATGAAGTGCAGGTCCAAAATTTACGTTGGTTCAAAACTCCGCAATGTGATAAATCGAGTTCCTTTGTGCATTAATCTGAATTGTGAACTATAAAGTTCCGCGAAACTCTCACAAAGCAATGATTTACACGAGGATATATTTTCAACACCGCTAGGTTATGTGTCCGGAGAGGCATAATTTAAACAAAACACGTCGTTCCCATTACGTTGTGTATCTCTCGCCGCAAGAGATGAACTCCCACGCATCTCAAATGATGGGGAGGAGGTGAATTGACTCACTTGTGCCCGAAATTTAATGGAATTTATCCAATCTCTGCAGCCGGTTTTTATTATCCTCTGGAAAGGCTGCAACACATCGATCAACCCACACATGCACGCAGCGTGGTTTTAAAAAAAAAGAGCGTGTTTTTTACGAAGGGAAAGCGCTTTCTGAATTGTATAATTGTTACAAGTTGTTCGCATTTAAAACGGGTTGTCGATATTATTGATACCATAACGGGATTAATAGCCCAGAAGCTGTTATAACATCTGGAGTGAGTTAAGCGTCGTTTAATTTGCGTGAGCATCATAAACATCTGACTCGGCCGTGGTTTGTGGCATGAGGTGGCTTCAACCAAACTCGCTCCGAACGCCTCGTTGTTGGATCTTGGGAGCTCAGCGGGATTTTTTTTGAAGCCTGGCAATTAGGAACTCAGGTGGGTATATGCGTGGCTCTTCGAGGTGTAGCCAGGAGGTGGCATCGTTGCGTGCCACACGCCAGAGGTCGCAAACGGATTTTGATTCCTTACCCGTACCCTACCCGAAATGAGTGACAAACGGCTACTCACCAGTGACTCACGGCCGCACCAGGGTCGCAAACTGGTACCCGTACCCGGCCGGGTACGGGTAGCCGGGTATCGGGTAGGGTACGGGTATCGGGTACCCGGTTGCGACCTCTGCCACACGCCTTGTTTCATGCGTGGTGGGTGTTCTCCGGGTTTCTGTGTCGTACCACACAGAGTCAAACTCCCATGAACAAAATGAGCCAACCATCCCAGGGTAGCAAGACCCTCTCAAAAAAGTATTGTGTACCACTGAGGCATTTCTGGGGGGGTGGGGGGGGGATATTGCTGTGATAGAATATTAAATTGCAACAATTAATTATGAATTTAAACATCACGTAATCGCGCTTTGTTAATCCACCGCTGGATGTGGGGTCTCCCCACGCTGTCAACCATGGGAGGTTATTTGACCATACTTCACAACACTGGCAAGTGCGAGTTGATGGAGCAGGGGAACCAGGATCGGTTCGGATATCACTCACTCAACAAACTAAGAGCGCAGTGCACCAACCACTGCACTACTGCTCTATCCGATTATTACGTATTACCTGTTCATTAAAATGAAAGAGGATACGGGTTAGCGCACCCGAATTGCAATCGAGAGGTCACCGTTTCGATTTCCCGGAGCGGCAGCTTAAGCAATGGTGAAAGTTTCTGAAATCACCCCGCCTCTGTCCTACCTCGCAGTATAAATGGGTACGACACACATTAATTGACCGTCAGGGGCGTGTGGTGGGGTAAGGTGTGGGTAACTCCAACCTATTCCGAGCCGTCTGGTCACTGTGAAAGAGTAGGCCAATGTACCCGCACGAGAGGGGCTCCCGAAAGTCGAGAGCCTTCCGCCAGCAGTGGCGTGAGCAAGTAAATTGCAGGGCTGCACCTTCATCTACAAATAAAGGCCACCCGGTCTATCTCTCAACCCAAGGTATTGTACAAATGTGGAGTGCTTTCAGGGAGGCTCAGCTTACCGATGGGCAGAGCGATGAAGAATGGGAGCCAGCAGAGAATGAAAACTCCAACGACGATCCCGAGTGTCTTAGCCGCCTTCTTCTCGCGGGAGAACTTCATGAACCGCACGGACAAGGAGCTCCTGAAGTGAGGTCCCTTGCTGGTGTCCCTGAGCGAGTATTCCCCCGGAGCGATGGTCCTCCTGTGTATGCGCAGGGTGACCTCTTCGGAAGAGCTGGAGCGCTCCCGCTTGATGCCCTCCTCGAGGCTCTTGGTCTGCCGACGCGCCGCGACGTACACCCGGCAGTACATGGCCAGCAGGATGACAAGCGGAATGTAGAAGGAGCCCATGGCCGAGAAGAGCGCGTAGCCTGGCACCTCCGTGATCTCGCAGACGGTCTCATCTGGTGGCGCCGGCTCCTTCCAGCCGAGCAGGGGACCAACCGAGATGACGATGGCCAGCACCCACACGGCTATGAGGATGAGCAGCACTCGGCGTTCGGTCATGATGGTCGGGTAGCGCAGCGGGTAGCTGACCCCTATGTAGCGGTCGATGGAGATGGCGCACAGGCTCATGATGGAGGCAGTGCAGCACAGGACGTCTAGCGCCGCCCAGATGTCACAGAAGATCCGTCCGAAGACCCAGTAACCCAGTATCTCGAATGTGGCCGAGAATGGCAACACGGTGGTGCTGAGCAGGAGGTCGGCGCTCGCCAGGTTGATGATAAAGTAGTTGGTGACGGTGCGCAGGTGTTTGTTGCAGACCACGGAGAGGACCACCAGGATGTTGCCTGCGATGGCAAAGATGATGAATGCGCCGAGGACCAGCGCCAAGGTGACAGCTCTTCTCGGCTCCACGGTCGGACTCGTCTCGTTGCTGACGCTGATGCCTTCCGAAGTCCCATTCAGATGTGAGGTTGAGTTTTCGTGAGTCACAAACATGTTGTCGCACTTATTTGGCCCGTCTTCGAAACCGACTGGAGGCTTCGGTCCTAGCCCACGGGATGTTATCCATTCAAGTAACTTAGCGTGTGTCTGCTATGCGCAACTTTGTACTAATAAATAACACAACCCTAAATATATTAATACACTGTGATATTATTTAAAATCGCACTGCGAGAAAACTGAGATTTCTATGCCGATATATTTCCGCGTGTAAAGTCAACTAAACTTTTAAAAACACGTATTTAATCAAACAAAACTACCGCAGCATCTTAAGAGCGGCAAGCGTCCTCCTTGCAGTGTTACTGAACTAATCTCTCCTCGAATCGCATACATGTAACGGGCTATACATAGGCACACTAATATGACGACGGTGGCGGTGGTGGTCGATGATGAATGAGGGGGAGGGGGCCCGTCGAATATTCTTTCAACGTTGCTGCCACCACCACCACCGCGGGCTTCACTCCAACGCCGAACTGCGCGCAAGAAAGTGACAGCGGCAAAAGGCGGCACGCGAATACACACACACACAGACCCAGACATATATACACCCACGTGTCCAGCCACTGGTCGGTCATCTCTCGTGACGCCGATGTGTGCGCGTAGAGCATCGACTCTATAAATAGCGCTGTGAAAAAACGTTGGCAGCTCAGAGATTCCGTATCATGACTGAACTAACAGCAAAACCACCGCCCCACTCCCCTCTCCCCAAGGTACCTGCTTATGTTTGATTCTACTGATGCTTTTTTTTTGCTTTCCACGGATACTTTGAGGGTTTGTAGGCTTATAGCTGAACGATTCTGCTGCTGCTGTTGCTGTTGCTGCTGGAGCTGCAAGAATCTCGTTACTGCACACACATATATATAAGCACATGTTAATGCTTGACGTTGCTTGCCAAATGACGTCACGCTTGCGAATTCATTTTTTTCTGGGGGCGTTTTAGTTTTTTTCTCCCTTCTCTTTTTTGCAAAACGTGATCTGCTCGCTTTGTGCACCGCGCAAACGGAAATTCACATTTGCTGCAAATCAGTACTGCACTGCTTCGTGGTGAAATGTCGCGAAATCAGTTTAACGTAGACCCAAAGAATCTAAGTTTAACGTAGATCCCACGCGTAGTATACAACAACATTGTCACCGCGGCTTCTTGTAAAGGACATCGCTGTGTCGCACGATCTTCACGGGACCGTGCACGCAGCGTGACTTCGTTCAGAGAGGGCAAAATACAACGCGACAAATTTGTAGTTGTTAAACAAATGCTAAACACGGACCGGGTATCGATACGATCTGCCTGTTGCCTATCGTGTGTGCCGTTCTAGCTCTCACCCGAAATGTACACAACGTGTGAGGAAAGGCTGGGACGCCCACTGCTTAATTGTACGATGTTTTGCCACCAATATTTGTTTAAATGGATGTAATAATTAGTAGTGTGGGCTGGGGGGGGGGTTGCTGGCTTTAGCATAGGGGGGAGGTCTAAGCTGTTTACCCCACTGCAGGTCAAAACACGTCTCATCATGTTTCTTTCCCCGCAATGCTCGACGTTGGAAATTTCCTGTTGGCTCTTGCTCAGAATGAGAAGCGCTGTTTGTTACTGGCCTCTTAACAGTTCTTGTTTTAAATGTCGATTTAAAGCTTTCGTGACTGCATGGATTCATATTCTTGGTTCTTTCGGTAAAGTCACGTAGAAGGGAAATAATTAAATAATACAAATAAAAAAATGATAAAATAATTCTCACGACGTTTCGGCCACAACGCAAGCAGCCGTCCTCAGGTGAAGAACAGGTCTGTCGGAAAGACAGCGTCATTCTGTCGGAAAGACAGCGTTTGTCGGAAAGATAGCATCTGAATCAGACGCTCTCTTTCCGACAGACCTGTTCTTCACCTGAGGACGGCTGCTTGCGTTGTGGCCGAAACGTCGTGAGAATTATTTTATTATGTTTTATTTTTATTATATTATTATTTCCCTTCTACGTGACTTTACCGAAAGAACCAAGAAGATGAGTTTTTGTTTTGTTTAGGCCCTGGGGCATGTGCTCAGCAACTGGCGTATCACATCATGTTATAAAACACAGTTTTACTGGCTGGCTGGAGGGCGGGAAGAACGGACCGGCACGTCCAAAAACACGTGCGCGTCGCTCGTGCGCTACAGCATTATACATTTAGAAAGTTTTACTGGCTGGCACGCGGTCGGGCAAGTGCACGGCGGTGCGTAATGACATCACTAGCGTTGAGCCGGGTTCGTGCGTGTTGACGTCACGCCTACCCACCCACCCCACTCACCCATGCCCGTCCGTGTATCCCATGCAAATACGCGGGCAGTGCGAGAGTTTGATTTTTGATTTTTGTACCAAACACATTCCTGCGGAGGGAGCTGGTAGGAACGTTGAGTTGTTCGGTCAATGGCCAGGGTCAACGGCGGCGTGGTGTATTCCGCAAATATGCCCGACTGGGAGGGCGGGCACAAGCCGGCGTGAGTAGGTTAAACGTTGAGTTTTATAAGGGCACCACGGGGTGACCAGCCCCTCCCCACCCAGCCCCACCCCTCCCACCCCCCACCCAGCCCCTCCCCACCCTCCCCACCCAGCCCCTCCTCACCCTCCCCACCCAGCCCCACCCTCCCCACCCAGCCCCTCCCCACCCTCCCCTCCCCACCCAGCCCCTCCCTCTCTACCCAGCCCCTCCCCACCCTCCCCTCTCCAACCAGCCCCACGCCTCCCATTTTTTGATGCACGTCGGACGGACACAATAATCCCCTGTGGCCTGGTGGAACCAGGAGGTTCCTATCAGTATAATGTTCGTATAACATTTGCTCAATCCGAGCCATTCTCCTGCCCCCCCCCCCTTCTCTCCCCCTACTCGGCTTTAGCCGCTGGACTCCACGGTACTGTCTGCGTGTACAGGGGACCTCGTGCTGTGGTTCAAAAATCCTCTGACGTCCCGAGCAAAATTAGATGTTTGACCACGAAAGACGTGGGTCCGGGCCTTGTACGGCATGGGGATTCATCATTTTGTTTTGTCGACGTTCGGGAAATATCGGACAAAAAGAGAGCGTTTCGCAGGGTTTATTTAAATTTAGAAAAGCGAGACATTGTGTATTCAGGCATATAACTTATTACATACTGTGTCCGAAAATTGCATGGGCGACATTGCCTTGTAAGTATAACTTATGTTGAACCAACATCCTATTAAGTTCTACTAATATTTAAAATCCTGAAAGCAATCAAGAATAAGGCTGGTAGCCAGCAGAGCAATATCGGCAATTCTATTTAATTACCCAGGAAAGTCTACCCCGAGTTTCAAGAGGGTTTTGCTTTGTGGTATTTGGCTTGGGATAGAAACGTTTACATCTATACCACCATAACGCTTTAAAGTGTGTGTGTGTGCATATGGTAACTGCCTGGCAGTGGTGCATAAGCTATCAAGACGGGCCATTGTACAAGACGTCGCTCATTACGTAAAGCATTGCTTCCTCTTTTAGGGCAGTGTTATTGACGGCTGTGTTGATGTTTTATTTACATGTGTATACGCATACGCAGTAGTAGCCCGCATAGTATTGTGCTGCGCGCCACAACGAAAGGTGCTCATCAATCATACGCGTAGAAAATGTGACACTATCGTTCATTATTGCTCGCGAGTATTCTAGGCTATTGATTGAAAACCTGAGACGTTTTTAATTATAAGCAGTAGGCGACATAGTTCAAAAGAAGAGGGGGGGGGGGAACGCCTAACTCCTAACTTGATATTTGCCAACCACATTCCACAAGCACACGTTCTCGGTTGGAACACAATTTTTTTCGCATACAAGCAATGACTTGCCGCCGACGGGCAGTCAGTCTTGCGGTGTATATAGGCTACATGAGAGCGGATAAATTAACAGAATTACCGCGATATGGCGATATGACGATATATCGTACAGTATATTAGCCACGATAATCGCATCGCCCGTTTTACACGATATCGTCATACAGATATCGCAATTATCGTTGCTTTTTTTTTCTCTCTCCAGAATTTAATTTATTTCCCGTCAAAATATGAATGAAATAACACGACAGTGATTACATTTGACAGGCGTACTAATTGAAGTGAAGAAAATGCAATTGCGCATTGCGTTTGTGCTTTGTGAACACGTTTTCCGGATAAATTGTCAGCGTGGTGATTATGTGACGCCGTAGTCTTCTCACATCATGATGTAATTTAAATTGGAAGACACGTTACAAGCTTATTTTGAGTGAACTACTTTGGAAAAACTTTTTTTTTAGTAAAATCTTTTTTTGCATTATAAGTGCAGAACAGCACAAAAACGCCAAAAATACATTTCAAACAATTACCAAATTCAAATAAATTGATATTGCGGTAATCGTACGGCGAGGCAATTATATCGAGACCATGCTCCTATTTGGATTACTAATCAAAGCTATACGTGCAGAAAGCAGTAACTACTATATAACGATTGCGTAAGAGCACCAATGTTCAGAGGCTCAAGATTGATTTTTAGTTGTTGAAAATAGTGCCAATTAGAGGCAATGCAGTATCCGGGCAGGCACGTCACATGCATCAAAGGGAAGAGAACATCTTTTTTGGGAAACACTTGAGATTGCGATTTCGTGGAGCGTTCAGTCCGTTATGATGGTAGTGTACTATATGAGGATCTTGAGGGGTGGTGGAGACGACTTGGGGAGACCTTCATCCAGAAGTGGTTTGTCCATGGCTAATGAGATAATGATGTAGGTTTCGATAGACAAAAAAAAGTATAATTGTGCGTCGAAGGCATTGGCTGTACAACCGTTGGTTTCTGAAAATGTATCTCCTGCATACTCGTTGGTTCTTTCGGTAAAGTCACGTAGATGGAAAATAAAAATAAATAATAATGTATCTCTTGCGTTTTGTGTTTTATATGCTACGAGGGGGTGGGTGACAGCACCACGCCCGGCCGCCTTTGTCCCCCCAGTGGCGATGTTCACACAGCAGATCAGTTACTCGTTTGAGGCTGAGTCGACCTAGGGGAGGCCCAGGACCCGTTAAAATAATCATCACCGGTGGTGGCCGTGAGCGGGAATCGAATTCGGGTCGCCGGGTTCATACCACAGCGCGCTACCCACTACACTACAATGCGTTACGCTTCCACATACGCGGGTCACGTGACAGATGTGACGTCACAGCTCACTTGCCGTGCAAAAAATATTAGCATTATTGAGCTCCCCCCACCACTCCAAAAAAAAGTGTTATCAACAATTGACGTTGTAATGTTGGTGGCATCTTTTCCGTCGTTTCTCTCAAGTATTCGCTGGACGTGACGAGCAACTACTGTATACGTATATTTTTTTGCTAGGGCATTGCACATGTGACTGCATTTTTGTTTTGTTTTACTGCATTGCGTTTAAGTTGAGAGGTATGGTTGGAGCTATACCATATGGGACCAGTATCAAAATATAAGAAACGTTTTTACCCTTTCTGGCAATAAAACAGTTGTGTTAAGATGTTAAAACACCAAACAGAAATCTTTTGCAAGGAATCCTGTCTTTTGGCGTTCTCTGAACTAACACTGATTGAGACTCAGCTCCAAAGAAAGCTGTCTCTGGTGTGGACCAGTCAGTTTCAAAGACAATGCATATACGATCAGAGCATGTTATTTTTGCTTGCACGTTCACCACAAGTACGTGTGGCCAATGCAGACATGATTCCTGGCAAAAGGTTTCTGTTTTGGTTTTTTAC